TTGCATCCGTGGCTAGAATTTATTTATTCTTAATTTAATTCCTGCTCAATTTGTGCGAGTTAAGTATTCAATTTTATTTGAATTGTCTAATTATTGTTAGTTTCATTCCGATGAAATTCCCCATACTAATTGGAATTTAAGAGAGATAAATATCCCCAATCCCTGAGAAGACGACCCTACTTGCCACTGTCTACTATTCAGTAACTTTTGCCAACTAATTAATTCTGGTATATCGGATTCAGCAAACTCTTCGGGAACAGGATGAATCAAGTAACCCATTGCACACCTAGAGTCCCTGCTCCAGTACCTAGGATTAATTATTGACAGCTTTTTAGTGGTATTTAGGTTATTATTATTATTATTGCACAGGTTTGACGCCCTGTCAGGGACCCAGCTTGTTTGTTTTATTTTCACTCAACTGCATAACTTGCTTCTTTTTAGACACATGAAAGTTTTTTTAAAAATTTAGCCGTTGTTATTAAGAGCACTGAAGAAAAGGTGAAAATTCCATGAACCAGTGAATGCTCGAGGTTCTTTCACAACTTGTGCCGTCAACTTCTCCAACCACCAGTGCAATTTATAACCCCTTAGAGCATCCCTCTTTCAACGACAAGCACGGTGCTCGTTATCCGAAACCAGCTAACATCAAACCATAGCTGCAAAAGCCGATAGAAGAGGCACACCTCAATTCTGGATCTGGGCTTCATTTGATACGACTACCAAGCTCAATATGTTTGTCTGAACATCATTTTTGAACAAGATAACCTATAGTTCCTGCTTGCTAAAGAGCAAATTGAATTTCTGTCCGAAACAATTGATAACCCAATTGAGAATGAGATTAGTTGGTGCTCTTTGTAAAATGCCGATTGATGCACGCCCTTTACGGGATATGCATCAGCCCTAATTTATCATATTTGGTTCAGTTGTTGGATTGCTTTTCTTGCTGCCCGCCTATTTTGTCGAGAGTAGGGCAATTTAGGCACGTATGCGAAGGAATTTCTGATTTTTGAAGAAATTTTTGTGTTTTCACAGAGTAGTACCATAGCCCAATTCCTCAAGATTTGTCATTTTCCTCCCTATCCGGTAACGAAGAACGCAAATTGACCAAAGCTTCCTACCCCAAAAAATTGTATCTACTTCTCTCAAGTGTAGCCCCTCATGACATGCATTCTCTTAACACACCTTGACGTGGAATAAATGCCTAACAAGTGTAGGCGATCACTGTCCGATCCACTAACTCCTGCCCGTGAATCCGAGGTTTCTTCCGTCCACTCCGTCACAACCTTAAACGACTACATCGAATCCCTAGCTAACTATTTCAAAGTAAGTCCCTGTGACTAATAAAACATGAATTAACATGTATTGGCTTTGCAATGTCATGATGAGCTCCTCAAATTTAGGCCCTGTAAATATTTTCGAACATCCATTTAAATTCATTCTTTACTCTATTTGTTGAACATGGCTAATCCGGAGTCATTTGTGCTACTAAATATATGTTGAACTTTTTGAAACTTTTGCATTTACACCGACATTGAATTTGTACTGTTACTTGTCATTTGCTACCGTAGTTTCAAGTAGGAGATTTCAAATTACTACTTGGTAGTTTATTTGTTCCCCTCTGACTATGTGTATCCAAAAATTATAGTTGTTGTGCCTCAATAACTGCTACAGCAAATTGGAACTTTTGGGTTAGTCATCTGAGTTAAGTATTCACATCTAGGCTTTGGACTGATTACATGTAAATTTGAAAAAACTCAGGAAGGTATGGTTTATATACACGTATGTGCCTCTTTGGTAAGTCCTTGTTTGCATTTAGATGATTACGACTGCATGCGCTGATGCAAAATTCATGATTAAGAAGAAATTATGACAATCCTTATTTTTGATATATAAAAGTTACTTCACTATACAGCTCCATTGATCTTGTGGCTGCAAAAATAGCATGTAATCAAAGAAATTAACTATGTTGAAATTGTTGGATTGTTTTCAATTTGTTATGCAATTTAAAAAGATATGCAACTCCTTTGGTTTTAGTCTGTAGATGCCTTGTGACCACACCACTGCAAAGGCGCATTGGGATGAAAACATGGAGATGCACTTCTACATGACATACGTTGAATGGAAAAAAAAAAGTGGGGAGTGGAATCCAAACATCGCATCTGAGGCTAATTGGATGAAACTTGCTGCGTCTCTTAATTCCATCTGGGGAAACAGTATGGTTGGACTGTTTATCATTCAAAGTACACGCGTTTGAAGAGGATTTGGCATGCCTTTGCCAAGTTAAAAAGTTTGCAACTCTCGGCCGATACTGGAATTGGTTGGGACTAGAATAGGATATGCTTTTTGGCCGATGAATCTCAGTGGGCTAATTTGCAAATGGTAAAAACCCATTCAACAGTCTTTCTTATTGAGAATCGAATTTGTTTTCATTTTTTACCGTTGACACTTAATACACAGCTAGGTCTAATATTAATTGTTAGTTAACTTTGTACTAGTTTAAAATCGGAGTTGTAAGCTCCAATGGTTCACTTGCTACAATGATAGCTATATACTTTTGGCTCCTCCTTATTGGGTTTAATAAATGAGATCAATAAGGCCTAAATTTTGTTAGTTTTTTTTTTAATAGGAGAATCAGGATTATAGGAACTTTAGATACCACCAGTGCGTCGACAAATATTCGATACTATCTGAGGTTTTGGAAGGAGAAACTGCCACTGGAAGCCAAGCTTTTTCTTCTGCATCTCCATCTTCGTGCGTCGCTCGCCAAAATCGACTTATTTATTTAGGAGGACAATCAAGTTCGCATTTTAGTGAGGAAATGCTCACTGGTGACCTAGGTGCCAAATGCTATGATGCTGCTCCTAAAGTAAGAACGAAGCGAGCTTCAAGCAGTCTAAGGACTACGATCTCGACACACGGATCTCGCCAGAGCAAGTCAAATAGAAGTTTCGACAATTCTTTCATTGAGTGTGACAACTCACTCACCAACCTAGCTTCAACGAAACTATTGATTAAAGATCGTTGAAAAATCGATTTTGAGAAATTTGATATTACAATGACAAATCATATTGTCGAATCGTTCGAAGGCGTTCACAAAAGGAGGAAGCTCATGACTCTTTTATAACTGCAGGATGACAAGTAGCGTAAGACTTTCCTAACTATGGCACTCTGTCTTCAAGAGTACTAGATTTAACACTTTGGACATTGCCCTGCAAAATGGCTCAGATGAAGAGTAATGTCGTGGGTAGATTTTTCAATGCATCAGCATCAGGAGAATTTTCAACTCGCTATTAGGATTAATAGCTCCTTCTATTAATTTTAAATCTTTTTTCTCGAATTGTGGTGCAATATGCTACTTGTGTTTTAGTTTCTTCCAGATTGGAAAAGTTTGTTTGGTATGTTTACTTTTGATCGAAGTACTTGCTTACCCGCTGTTCCTCTTCACTTATTTGATGTTTTCATTCATAACCAGGGGACCAATTCTTAACCACGACTTGCCTGTATAAGATTTTTCTTTGATTTATTGAGCATTACTATGCCAAGTAATGGGCTAAGTTTTCTGTATTATTAGGTTTTATAAACATTTTCATAAATTAAATAATAGTATAAAATGCCAAGTTTAGAAGATGTTTGTCTATATGGATTGGCATGAGAGATGGATGGCAGGTTGTATATATATAAGGTGATGCATTAACCGACCGACAGGGTGTACAAAACTTTGCAAAATCGAGGTTGTATATAAGAAATAATATGCACTCTAATTCTATATTATCCTGAAGTAGTGGAGGACATAACCGTGTGGGTATTCAAAATTTGTTATGGTCAGCCTCTAATTTACAATAAGCAATCTAGCAGGTCCCTTTTTTACTTTTAGTATCTTTCCCAATCTATATATTTTAAAGTTTTTAGCTATTTTTATTTTACGCATGGTCAAAAAATATGAATTGACAAATTTGTCTCTCAATTAGCTAGTCATTAAACAAATCTGAGATTCAAATTGATCAAAACAATAAAAGTTAAGTGTCAAATTAAAAAGGAGGGACCAACATATCTCCAATTAAAACTGGAGAACCAAAAGTGGTCAGTAAAAAAGTTGGAGGACTATTCGAGTCATTTACCCATAATTTAATATAGAATTTTGAAATATCAAAAGGAAGAAATTATAGCTATTATGGGTGTTTAAAACATTTGATAGTTAACATGAGATTACGAAAAAAAATAAAGTTGTACATGAGAGTATTGCTTATGTTCAAATTATTATCATAACAAATACTTGTTATGCTCAATAAAAGTGGAAAGTTGAGCTTATATTTTTAGGTAGTTCCTTAAATGACTTTTTTTTGAATGATAACAAGTTGGATCTCAATTTTTCTTATTTCTATGGTTATTTGCACTTGATATTGTGAAGTGAAATTATCAGGTTTTAGAGTGTCACATATAATTCATAAAATTGTGTCCTATGTGTATTTAAGAAATAAAAGAATTAAAGATAAAATATTATAATAAAAGAAAAACATAAACAAATACTCCAAATGTGTATGTGCTCATTGCCGACTGATGTTTTGGACCTTTGTGCATAATTGTTTATTGAAGTAAACTGGTTTGATAGATGGTAGATGCTTGCCTTACATTTTATTTAAAAAATGGACTGACTACATTTTTGCCATAGCATAAAGAAATGTGATCTCCCCAAGATTTTTCTTATGACCTGTAGTGTCGTGTGGATTCACATGCAATCCTGCCAGGAGTCTTATCTCTTCGATATTGACGACTAAGTGATGAAACGCTTACAAGGCATTTGTGCAAACTGCATATATTCGCTTATCTCATACACAGACAAACTGACAAGGATTACGCTGTGTGTCTCGCAGTAAGAGGTATCAGATTTTTGCTTTTATAAGCATTGATCGCTTCGTGAACTGATCGCTCTATCCCTCAGCCACTTTAGCAATCGAACCCATAGTATCTCATTGTAGTACATTTTTTTGCTATACTCCGAAATGAACGCATTCCGTGATGACCATGCCACCAGCTCATCCTCAGACGAATATGATCTTCTATTTGCAGCTGTTGTGGCCCTATTGTTCAGTCCAAATGCAGAAGCATTCGGAGGTCCTATCTAGAAGGTACCGTATGGGACATCAGCTTTAATTGTGCAACAAGATTAAGTGTAGATTCATTTATGAGATTGTGCAACGTATTATCCGATTGTGGATTTGTCCCCCAGCATCATCAAAAAGGGGTTATGATAGATAAGGCACTTGCGATGACTTTAGTTATGATGAGCCACAATATGCGGATGCGAATGATTGCGAACCGATTCAACCACTCTCTCCAATGCATCGAAATATTCACGAAGTTATCAAGGGTCTATGTACATTCGCTCAATTCATCATCACTCCATGGCGCTAGGATAAAGTCGATCCAAAAATTTTGAATGACAGCAGATTTTATCCATGGTTTGAGGTATGCTTAGCTAATACGGCCGATTAAAATATTACATTTGGGTCTCAAAGAATCTTTATATATGTTTTTGTTATTATACATCCACATTGGGATGGCTTTTGATAAAAGAAATCTAATTGACGAAATGATAAATACTTTCGACAACACCACTATAATGACGTGGAGAATGAAGGAATACTCTAAACACACATTGGTCAGACTATTTGAAGTAATAAATAAGCGTCATCTCAATTGCTTTTGAAAGTTACGTTCTGGAATGTTAGTGAGTAATGCAAATTTTAAACATAAAAATTAAATGCAACAAGAGGTAACTTGAAATAATACTCTACTTTTAGCCAAAGATTTGCCCTTCAAGATACACTAGACAATTCAACTTGTTCTAATAGTCTACCTTGACAAGTACAACTATTAAACCTTTCTTGGATGCGTGGTACATGGGATTTATTCAACAAGTATTTTGATTCATACTACATATATATAATCTTAAGATTGTATATCATATTTTTATTTTACAAACTAAATAAGATCCATTAACCATAGTTAGATGTAGGAAAAAATAAAATCGCCTAGAATGCAATATAAAAATTTGTGCACTAGCTCCTTGATGTCAAAAGAAATCAAAGCATTAATATTATTTGATCTATATTATACTAAGATATGCTACACCATGAGCAGTCTATCTTGTTCCTTCATTCATGCTAATATTTGAAATAGTTTAGTCAGGAAATTAATCGAATTTTAAATTTTTTTTGAAACTTTTGTTTGGTGGCACTTAATATTTTAATTTTATAAGTAATTGCCTGAATACATCAAATTTCACAATGACTTCAATTTTTGTTCAAAGGATATAGTTGGAGCCATTAACGGGACACATATACCCACTTCTATCCCAAGTGGACAGCAAGTGGCATATACAAATAGACACAGAGTACAATCACAAAATGTGTTGGTTGTATGCGATCATGATATGAGATTTATATATATATGCAGGTTGGGAAGGAAGTGTCCATGATGCTCGTGTTTTGGATGGGGCTCTAACGGATTCAAATCATTTCCCAATGCCCCTTCTCAGGTATACGAGAAAGTTCATGTATACATATTTAGCATTAATTTCACACAACTAATTACGCATTTTGAAAATCATTTATGATAGGTAAATACTACTTGATTGATTCCGCGTATCGAAACTTGCCCAATTTCTTACCACCCTATAGAGGACGTCAAGCAGATGTTAGTGGTCGGAGAAGAGGGAGATTTGCCACGGCCAATGAACTTTTTATTTACAGGCATTCTGCTCTACGTAATGTCATAGAGCGAACATTTGGTGCCCTTAAGAGGAGATTTGCTATCTTGCGGGGCACCATACCCAACTACATGATGACTACTCAGATAAACGTTGTTATTGCCTATTGTACTGTGCACAATTTCATTAGAGATCAGCAGCCAAATGACCTTTACTTTGCAAATTCTGATATGGGAGATCCAGATATTGACGATGCAATTCCCCCCTATCCGGAGATACAGCCACTACATTCCCCTCCCGAAGTGATTGACCAATCAATTGGCATGAGAGATGCAATGGTCGCTCATATATTCAATACCTATAGAAATACACGCTATCATTAATGAAGAACCAAAAAAAAATGTCCATGGACATTCAGACAATGCTATGGTAAAGGGAAGGCCGCTCGAATATTGCCGGTTTATGTTAATTTTGGCAAAGGAACATGACTAGTTATAAATATTATGCATATTTAATTTCGGCAAGTCTTTTCTTGCATGGTTGCATTCTCTGTTTGTGATCGTGATTCGCTGTAACCTCTTGTAATCAATCGATGTTTGTGGCTAAAAATCTCAATTTTGGGGCCACAAACCTAGGTACTACCCAAATCATGCTAAAACTTTTTTAATTAACCACTTATTTGCAAATGTAGAATTTTTTGGGTCTTGTCAACAAGTCTTTAAATTTGTTTGTGGACAACACGTGCAAATCCTAGGGAAGTAACCATTCATTTGACCAAAAATGGGTGGTGGCTTTTGAATTTAGGTGGGTCCCGCAGCTGTATTATGGCATTTACCATTGTTCCGGCAACAACTCCCTTTCTATCAACACAACTATCATAATTGCAAGTCTTTTCATACATCAATGAGGGACATATGTTCAAAAACCCAAATCATGGAAGTCAATAATTCAAGGAAAATTATGTAAATTTGGGCAATCCAAACACATCTACTGATTCTTGCGGAGTCAAATCACGAGTCATAATTAAATCTTTCTAGAACCAAATGAATGCAACAAAAAGTTGAATATTCCCAACAAAAATAACAAAGACAAAGGAAAATCAATGGTTATAGACACTCCATAATGATGGAATGGATATTGGAAGGGTGATAGATGTTGCAGACTTGAAACTAGTTGAATAATGGTGAATGAGTGATGACAGAAAAAAAAGAGGAAAAGATAACTGTCTAAAAAAACAAAAAGAGGAAGAGGGTAAGGGTCAAGGTTTGATAACTAGGCTCCCTAGTGTTTTATAGTAGATGTTTTATGTTTAAAACATTTAAAAAAATTAAAAACTAATGCAACTAATCAATATTCTACATTTATCACTCCTATTTAAGGTTGATCACGATTCATATTTGTACTGGAATTGGACTGGAATCGATCCAACAGTTTGTTGAATTGAAATCAAAACCGGATTTTGGGAACTGAAACCAAAATCAGAACCATAACCGTAACTAAAAGTTCAGGTTTAGCTTCACCAAAATTTTGAACCATAATCAAAACCGACAGTTTAAGACCTGTTCAAAAACCTATTTAATTAATTTAGAGTTCAATATCAATAGTCAGTACCTAATACTAGCGGATCCAATTATAACCCAACAATTCATTGTCTCATTCTATTAGTAAGTAATATAAATTCAAGATCAATCTAATCTAATCAACAATTAGATAATTTTTTTTATAAAATTTGCATCATTTTTTCTTTTTCCTTGCACATGATAATACAATAAAGTTCTTTTTCCTTGACATTCATTATCATTTTTTTTGAATCAATTTTATAACAATAAGTGTTTAAACATAATTAAAAGAATTGAAATCGTAACCTAAAGAAACCAGAGTCGTAATCAGAATAAAACTTGAATCAAAATTGAAATCGAAATCCCAGGTTCAAGAACTATAACTGTAACTGTTCCTATAAAGGCTGATTTAAATTTCACTTTTCAGAATAATCAAAACTATCGATTTTTAAATCGAAGCCATCAATTCTAGAACTGTGGCCATGTCTAGTCCTATTATTAGATTATGGATATACATACATTAATTAATTAATTTAAGCTAGAAACGAGACAAGGGTATCCTCTCGTCCCTACCCCATTTAAATTGGAAAGAAAATTCATGTATCCTGGCCCATCCCCCGACTTATTACTCCCCCATAAGGCGAGTAGCCACTCATTTCTCCAGAAATATTGGCAAAGAATTTTCACGTTAATAATATCAAAATAAATGTGATACAGTATATACCTACAACAAAACCAATTACCACATATCATATGCACGTTTTCTTTTTCTAGTTTTAAAGATAATGCCCGGTGAAGGTAAAACATGATACTCAAATAAAGCATTGACCCAATAGTAGTCCCAAAACTAGAGCTGTTAATGGGGACGAGCTAGCTAGAACCCAACTCATTTGGCCCAAAAAAAAGCTCGGTGAACCTTATGTTTGGTAGGGCTAGACCTCCCCTTTGTGATGGATGTCAGCACCAGAAGCCTTCTAATGACCAACTTGCTCTCAAAATGTTGTGGCTAATATTATTGCAAAAACAAGGGAAAAAAATTGCCAACAACAATAATATTTTTTTATTTGCTTCTTGGCGCGAGCATCTACAGAAAATTGTAATTATTAAGACATTAGTAGCAGCATGAGCATGAGTTTTTGAATGGGGTGTTGCAACGTGATGCTACATGGCAATGCACTCCAGAATGCAGATCTTTTGTGTATCAGAAATGGTCATGGACTTGGTAGTGCATAGTCTCTTAGGCTAGGCAATCCTCACCATCTTAACTGATGGTTTGAGATGGTGTTTTTGTGTTCTACGGATTGCCTTGCATATGTATCAGTGTTGTGGCCCACATGGTAGTCTTTAAACTATCTTCTTTTGTTGCTTGGACTGCTTAGTATGGACATGTAATTAAATGGAACATATTTACTTGTTTTTATGCTGTTTAAGGCTTCTATTGGACTTATTTTTCCAGTTATATGTTTAATAGGCATATGCAACTATACAAAATGGACCTACAATCTTGGAAACTCAAAGCTGAAATTCATAAGCTAGCATGCAAAAGGTGTTGTCACTACAATGTGTCCACCAAGCATTTGCCTTCTGGTTTCATCACTACATAACTACTGAGGCTATGCATGTTGGTGGTACAATGTTGCATGACTGTGGATTAATCAAATCGATTTTACAGTTTGTATGAATATGTATATAGCAAGTAAACTCAAATTTTCCATTATCAGTTTTTCGATTGATGAAATTTAATTGCTTCCAATTGATAGAGCCGTTGCAACATGCCTAACTCTTCCTGCTTCTAACAGTCAAAAGTGCAGAATTACATGTGTACTCTTTGCTATACTGAGAGGATCACTATTGCTTTCATCTCCTTTTCCCTATTTTAATTAATTTTATAAACAAAGTGGTAAATGTTTTGTTCAGAATATAAGGGTTATTATCACTTTACCCCCTTAAACTATATCACTACTATCAATTTACCCCTTAATGATATCCTTTAGTTACTTTACCCTCATAAGTAATTCAACTTAACATGTTAAGAAATTTTGGACAAAAATACCCTCTTATTTTATAGCATTACTACATTGTTATTATCAATTTATTCGTTTAGATTATAGTGATACAATCACTTTAGTTCCTAACATTATTTTTTAGGCATTTTACCTAAATTCATTAATCTTACTAGTATGGTCAAAAAATTTTAAATGTATTTACCCTTTTATATATAATTAAAAATAAAAAGTTGGAATGGTTATTCTTCCATCTTTCACTTTAAGAGATCAAAAAACATAAAAATAAAAGGGTTTTCTCAAATTTCTTTTTTTCACATTTATTAATACTAGGAAAAGAAAAGGAGATAGGAAGAAGGAGACAAAAAAATTAGATTTTACAAAAAAAGAAAATAAAGAAAAATCTAACATTATCATATTATTTTAAGGTTATTGAGATTAGGATTGGAATTTGGTGGTAAACAAAAAAGTGAAATAAATTTAAAATAATAAAAATATTTAATTCTTTCTTATTTGTAATTTAAAAAAAAAAAAAGAATTGAGCTCTCTCTCTCTTGCTCTCCCCCTCCCTCTCCCTCTCTCCATCTTTCTATTTTTTTCAATATTAATAAGACTGCCAAGAAGAAAGAAATTAATACTCTGACTTTTTTTCTTGATACTAAAAAGGAAAAGAGTCACTCAAAATTTTTTATTATTTTTATTATGCAAAGAGGAGGATATTTTCTTTTAAAGTTTTTTTAACTTGCTAAGTTAGTTTAATGGTGGGATAAATTGCCTAAAAACTAACTCTAGGGGGTAAATTGATAATGAGACTATATTTTATGGGAGCAAAGTGATAATAATTTTAAGGGTTAAACATGTTTTTTCACTTTAATTAACAAACTCCGTTAAATTTGACATTTAGTTTTGGGGGTAAAGTGACTAAAAGATAACGTTAAGGGAGAAATTGATAGTAACACCAAATGTAAAGAGGGTAAAGTGATAATAACCCAGAATATAAAGAGGGTAAAGTTGGCAAAAACTTGTGTGTCAATACCTTTTCCCACTTTTTAAACTTTTTTTTACTGATAGGGGCTGCAATATTTATCAAATGTGCCCATCAAAGGGAGGTGACTGTAATTTTTAATTTTAGAGAGTATTTAAGTGTAATTGTCAGAAACCTCCCCTGAAGTTTCTTTTAATATCACCTAACACCTTTAAGATTTTAAAAATATCACTTACCTCTCTTTTTTTATTATTTGTGTAATAAAATTTTAAAAATTCTAAAGTACCTTTTACTTGCTAAATAAAAATACTCCAAAGTCACTTTGTTTACTCTAATAAAAAGATCACCTAAAAAATAATCTCTAGTAGTACTTCTACATCATAATGCTATAGTCCATAAAAATACAAATTTAAAAAACAAAAAATATTTATAAAGAAATATACTAGCATCAATTTAACTCTATATATTCAAAACTAATTTCTTATGAACATTATATTTTTTTTTTTCAACTTCTTCTCAACTCATGCCCAAACCTTTAAATTGTACTGATCATTATAAAAAGTAACTCAAAATAAATAAAAATTATACCCCATTCTATCACAATCACAAAAAAGTAAAATATAAACAAAACTCAATTTACTATAATTTACAAATAAAAAATTGCATAGTCATCCAAAACAAAGAGTAAGAAAATGTTGGAAAAAGGAGAAGGGAGCAAGAGAAGAAAGTGACTTTTGTATCTTTTTTTTTTTTTTTTTACTTTTTGAGTTCCATTTATTTGATGTGTGTATCATATATCAAGTGAGGATTAATATAGTCTTTTTGCAATTGCCTGG